TTATTGGTTTGAAAGTTAGATTGGAATGACTTTGAATAAGTTGTAAACTTGATTTTGAAGTTTTGGATAGAGATAGAGTGCCCAGTGCTAGGATCGCAACTCCTAGGTGCCTAAAACAAGTGAAATGAAAGAATTCATCCCGTGACTCATCGCCCAAGCGCCATAGAAGCAGCGCTTGCTGCTTCTGCTGCTTGCTTCCTACGAGCCTGAGGCGTGAACGACAATATTATCTGGTTGTTGAACAATTTTTCAATTCTAATAGGATTTTTGTATTCTATTTCATCCAAAACATTATGATTGAGATCTTGTATATATATCCCACGATTTGTATACTCTTCATAATATTAAAAACAATGAGAGAGTAATAGAAACTTGAGAGGAATTGTTAGATTTAGATTGAGTGCATCAAATTATGTAAAACAATTTCGATTATTGATGGATTCTCCTCCCCTGCACGTGGTTTTTTCCTATCTTGAGGTTTTACATTAAAAGTTGGTGTTCTTATGAGGAAATTACATCTACACCTGGAATTAGATTTTCCAATTTCACAAATAAAGTCACAAGTTTAACATTTCAAAAATCAGGTTTTAATTAAAAATTTAAAAACATTTTTTTTTATATAATTAATCTAAATCAACCCCTAAGATATTAGGAAGAAACCGACAGTCTCTCCGCCATTTCTACCCTCTCGCCGTCTCCACTCTCTCCACCCATCACCGGTTCACCCATCGCCGCCTCCACTCCCCTCTCTTGTCTTCATGGTTTGAGAACGATCACGCGGTCCATTCTTTCCAACGCCTCTCTCTGCGTAGCAGTTCACGGCAGTGTCGACGCTACCGTTAGCGACGTCGATGCTGCAGTTTGCAGTAGCGATCTCGCAGTAGCAGCATCGCGACGCCGCCGCAGTTCGACGCCTAGTGATTATTGTTGTTTTTTATGGTTTTTGTGCACTGATCTATTGTAGTTTTTGTGTACAGATCTGCTGTAGTTTTTAAGGTTTTTGATGGCTTTTGTGCACAGATCCGGCGGCGGTGGTGTTCTTATGTGATTGGATGCAACGGTGGTGGTAGTGTTTTTGAGTTGTGGTAGTGGTGTTTTGTGTGGGGTGTTGGTTGTTACGACGATGGCAGTGGTACTGGTTGCCGTGAGGTGGTAGCGGTTTCGTGGCGAGGACGACGACGGTAGTGGTTATTGTTTGTGGTATGTGACCAAGTATTTGGTTATCTGTGACCAAATATTTAACTGTGACCTAAAACTTTGACAATATGTGGCCAAAAAATTATTAATTGTGACTTAAAAATTATTAAATTGTGACCTAAAAATTGATAAATTGTGACCCAAATAAGTATTTTGACTTATAATTTTTGTGATCTGTGACCGATGAACAAATTGTGATTTTTAAATTTTTAAGTTGTGACCAATAACAAATTGTGACCTATGAAAATTTTGAATTGTAACCTAAAAATTTTCATCGGAGTCGGAATCGGAGCAGTCGTCGGAACAAAGTGACAGATGAACGGTCATCGAAATCGTCGTCGGAATGACGGAATCTAAGCAGTTGTCGGAACGGTCCCCGAAAATGAGTTGTGAGCGAAACGGTAGCCGGAATAGTCCCCGGAGTGGTAGGGGTGGTGGTGGTGGAGGTGGGGTAATAATATTATAATAGTATTAAATATTTAATAATAAATTAATTTAATAATTCATTAATTCATAAATAAAAAATTTCAAAACCTGATTTGTGAAATTCGAAACTTATTTTTGTATTTTTGAAAATGTGTCAAGTAAATATCTTAGCAAT